CTCGCTCCGGTCTCCGCAGCCATGTACCCCACCGCGGCCATCACGCCCATCGCGCACAGCGTGCCCCAGCCGCCGCCCCTCCTGCAGCAGCAGCAGCGAGAAGGTGAGGCGGCCGCGATCTCCCCGGGCGCCAGCCCCGCCCTCTGACCTCCACCTGCTGACCCGCGCCGCCGGGGACCTGCGGGGAGCGTGCGGTCCCAGCGGTTCTCGGCCTGGCGCAGCTGCCTGGGCCTTCTCTGGCTGGCCACGGAATCTCCCTCTCTGATCCTCAGTTTGCTCCCCTGGACAGTGGGAGCCGTGCTGGCTCCCACCAGCCTCTCCAGAGGCCAGGAATTTGGGAGAGAAGCCCTGGAGGTTGGGGCCTGGCCCGCTCGAGGAGCGGCTGGGTAAACCGAGGCCTCTCCAGGAGAGCCAGGGCTGTCCAGGGAGGGAGGACAGCTGAAGTTCAAGTCCGTGCATTTCTGACCCGAGGAGGCCCCTAAGCCTGAGGCCCCTGTGCCTCGGTTTCTTCCTATGCAACACCCGTGTCCATCTGGGCCCCGCGGCTGACCGGGAGTGAGGGCGTCTTCGGGACAGGCGACCAGCCAGGGAAGCTGAGGGCGCCTGACTCAACGGCTTGGCCCAGTTTCTCCCTTCACATTGGCCCGTGGGTGGGAGCCTACTTTGGGGTGAGCGCTGGGCTGAGGGGGTCCCCTGGCTGTGCCCACCAGCTGCTTCCCGTGGTGGGTCAGATAGCATGTCCTCTGGAGGCTGTGTGACAAGCCACTACCCCAGACCCATGTGTTTGTCAAGAGTGGCGGCCAGCACCTCCACATGTCAGACATTCCCAGGACCTCGCAGCACCCCCATTTCTTACCGCCCGATGGCACCAGCAGGGACTCTGTAGCATCACTGTGTCCTTTTTTTGAGGGGGGATGACTCTGGCCTGGGTGTCCCCTCCAAGCCCCTCTCCACCTCCGCCCTCAGCCTGAGTGGACTGGGTGAACCTTGTCTAAACCCTCCGCCTTCCGCATCTGCAGGTTTGGAATCAAGGATTCGACCAAGGTCAGGTGGAAATATGCAGACAAGTGTCATTTTGTCAGCACTGAACACATAAGGACCGTTCCCTGTCCTTATCTCCAGTACAGTGTAGCCACTGTCCGCGCAGCGTTGGCATTGTATTAGGTGCTAGTCACCCGTGATGACGTCAGTCTGCGGGAGGACCCTGCACCATGTTGTGGACATGAGCACTGTGGGATCCCTGTCTGTGGGGACCTGGGATCCACCTCCTGAGGGCACTGAGGGCTGACCTGCAGGCAGGCTGCAGTGGCACTGTGTCCCCAAACCCAAAGAGAGTCCGGGAATCAGTGGTCCAAGCCCACCAGCAACGTGCTCAGGGAAAAAGCTGGCGATTGATAAAAGTGGTTCTAGAAAGAAAGGTCGTGGCTTTACACCTGTTCAGTGGCCAAGGAGCGCCTGGGAGTGTGGGAAAGACCTGAGGTCTGCACGTGGACGTGGTGGCCAAGGGGATGCCATGCGTCACTGTGGGATGGCGGACAGAGGGTGGGTGCCTGGAGTCAGGCGCAGGGTCGGGTGCCTCGGTCAGGGGTAGCAGCTGGCGGTGTGCGGTGTGTGCGTGCAGCGTGTCTCCTGACGAGCTCAGTTCTGTGGGGTACGCTTTTCTGCGATCACCCAGGGTTTGGGGGGGGATAAAATAGGAGATAAACAAGTGCAGAATTCAAGTTATGCTCAGAATCAACTTGTCACCTGCCAGCTGTGTTGGTGCAAACCTGAGCTCTAGAAAGAGAGCCCTGGTCCTTGTGCCGAAGGAAAGGGGTGTCCCCGCAGTCCCGGCCGTGTGTCCTACAGGGGGACGGAGCCATAGAGCACACTGCCGCTTTATGATTTCATCTTAGCCGTGCGGTGGGGATTATTTGGGCTGGGGCTTGTCTTGGAGGACTAATCGTGACTGTTTTTAACAGCGACTTCTGTTGGCATGGTATGTCCTTGCTCAGTTACCTACGGTTTCCGTACGTCTGGGGTTCAGGACTCAAGCGATCATGTTTACTGCATCTGAGTTTCTTTTCATACCCTCTGAATTTTGAAAATCACCAAGGCCTGGGGGTTATCCCTGTCTGGGGCTTGGAACTCTGGGAATGTTCTGTTCTGTGACCACTGGGCCTTCTGAAAACTTAATTTTATGTTAAGGGGGTGCTGGGGAGGGGACCCGAGGCCTTGCCCGTGCTAAGCATGTGCTGTTCCTCGGAGCCGCCCCTCGGAGCTGGGCAGGCTTGCTGGCCACAATGGTTTGTCCTAAACTGCTTAAGGACTTAAGGCGGATCTGTGCAGTTGCCAGGACTCCCGGCCGCGGGCCAGGCTGACTGGCTGTCATGATGGCCTAGAGCCAGTGTAGGGTGGGTCTTCTGGAGGGTCGGGGTCTCTGGGAGCTCTGGACTGGCCAGGGTGTGGGCCACAAGGCCTGGCTGGCTGCCTGACCCTGGCCTGAGGCTTTTCCTGTGGGCA